TTATTAACAGGTTATTCTCAAATCACACTGATTCATACCCAGTTTTTGCAAAGTTTGACCACATTTCTATGACTTTTTTGGATATTGCAACATCGGCTGGTGGGGGATGTGAGGCTTTCAATGGAAATCCAAACACCATAAACCTCTCTGATTCATGATAACCCTTTAAGAACGATGGATGTTTAAAATAGCCATCCGACATGTCAATACCATGATCCACATAATAGAAAAACACTTTGGCACCGTTTTTGACAAATGCATTCGCGAGGTCAATCGATGGAGCGATAAACATGCTGTCCGTCAAAAAGTCAAGAATCATGCGTCGGTTTTGACGTGTTTTGTTGATATTGGACCACGGAGTGTATTCTTGAATAACAGCCTTCTTGTAAAATGGGAGGAAACGTGTAAACGTCTTGTCCAAGCGGTTTAATCGACGAGCCCAGCCATTCATAAATTTAAGGAAGTACTTTCTGGTTATGCTGTAACCTCTAATCTTGGTTGAAGGATTCGATAGTTCTAAAACAATACAAGCTATATTAGTAGACAGTGAAAAAAAAGATGAATAAGAATCGAAAACAAAAATACAAGGAAAGAGAAAAATAACATGAGATGCTGTGATCACCAGCCTTTGATGCTATAGACCAATCTCGTACCCAGAGCCCCCCTTGGTCTGCTACAAACAACTTTGACTCTGGAATATACGAAGGGCTATTTCATCCATGCTCAGTAGAAACCCGATCTAGCGGCTTTAATTTAACCGATTTTATTCAAGAAAATTGGCTTTACAAAAGCCTTGGAAGTCACAAAAGGGATTTATTAGACCTTAAATGATAAATCTATCTTATTCGAAGCTTTTTTGATATCTAATTTGATCAGATCGTAGCAGACGGGGTCGAACTTGCACAGTAAGAGGGCCAGGGACGGGCGCTGTGTTAGAGATTGGTTATAGACTATAGTAACAATGCAAGAAAATCAAAATGACAAGAATCTYTCTTCCAATGGAACAACCATTATTTAAGCTTTGTAATACACAAGGACAGTAACAAAGAAATGGATATTATGAATCAAATACCCGGTATGGCATTCGTCATACGCGATCCATCATCGCTGGCCACRCCTATCATAGTACTTTCGGGGTTTGTGAAGTTTCCTTTGTCAAGCAAGGTATGTGGAGAATCTGACAAAAAATACAAAGAACTTTTAATCAAAAAAAAACTTTATCGCAATGTATTGATCATTTCATTCCAAACTTATCTGAAAAAGTTTCTAATAAGTGTAGTCCGCCTAATTGACAACATTTAAGTAAAAAATCATCAAAAAACACAGAGATATAGAGCAGCTACTCCCAATATCTAACGTTTGGAGCCTCAAYAAAACGCGCAAAGTCGAAGGAATATTGAGGGTGGTGATCAAGATCTCTACGAATAGCTAGAAAGCTATAACTACTGGACAACTGCAATATGTCAGTGCAGATTTCAGTTCTTCAGTGTTAAGGAAGACTAGTCACGTGACTAGCCCTAGGCTAAAAACCTAGTCCTATCCCTAACCCCAAGTTAACCTTAATCCAAACCCTAGTCCTAACCCTAACCCTATCCCTACTCTAGGTCAGCATCTCTAACCCTATCCAAACATCAACCCTAATCATAGCCTTCTCGACCACAAGTCAAAACTGTGGGTCACGTGACCCTTGGTTTTGGGATTAAACTAATTATCAAATGTGATTAAGACTTCTGTCAAGTGGTACAACATAAGCCACAACATATTTATTGAAGGACTTGATTATATTGAATCATCTTAACGAATATCACTGGAAAAAATCGCGCGCTTTAAAGGTTGTAAATTTGATGGAAATATGCTGNGGAACACGCGGGTTTGCTAGAATAATTCATTGTTGACATCGAGAAAATGTTCAGAACTACGAATAAGTCTGTCGCCAAAAAAAAACTAAACTACAAAGACAAGGGACTAAGGGCATCGCGCGGGATTACCCATCATGCACTCGATATTATGATATTTAGATATTTCGACAATTCTCATAATTTTTGCAAAAGGCTGTATATATTGAATCATCTTAACGAATATCACTGGAAAAAATCGCGCGCTTTAAAGGTTGTAAATTTGATGGAAATATGCTGTAAGTGTCCAAAATGATGTAAATTTGACACTTACAGCATATTTCCATCAAATTTACAACCTTTGAAGCACGCGATTTTTTCAAGTGACACAGTCTAATAAGCTATTTCCAACACCAACTTAAAGTGAAACGCTTTGTTAAACAAGTGCTGAGGCACCGATGATAAGAAATTTAAACTAAACAATAAGGAAAGCAATACTGCATTGTTAACATAGGATAAGAGTATACCTAGGATGAAGTCTCCATCTATAACAGGGCTTAACCAACGCGGTAGTTTTACATTGTTCAAGAAACTTGGTTTGGCGGACTTTAAACAATCAATTATACTAACGTTCTTGTTACACTTTAACCTCTGCTTGTAAGATTCCCTTTAAAATAAAGTACAGCATTCGAAGTGTTGAGTTGAGATTAAATAATAGATCATTTCACGGATGACTTATCCGCCATTCAATTAAAATTGGAGGATAACATACAAACACCTTCAGACCTGCCAAAGCGGAACAACCACCGATCTTTCTATTAACATAATTGGTAGAAAAAACGATCCCGTTGACCTGAGACTACTAGAAGCCGCTCACATTCGCAAAAAGAAACCCCAAATTAATTCACGCGACGAATGTTTAGAACTAAGAGATCTATCATTCTAGTTCGCCTATGTTGCTATCGAAAGCTCGAGAAAAATTATAACAACTATCACAGTTGCGTATGGTCGACTTGTATGTTATCTTACACAAAACATGCTACTGAAGGACAACTTCACAATTTTCTAAAATTGGAGGAGTTATTGAAAATCATTACGACCCCCAGGACAAAAACAGACTAAAATTAGTACATTTACAGAGTTTGGTTTTTAATCAGTTAAAATTCTGAAAATTCGAGAAGATATAGGATCTCAAAATTCACAAATTTTTACAAAGAAATACATGGTGCATGAGGTTGAGTTTCTTTGTAAATTTTGTGTGTTTAAGTTAAGGAATAAAAGACGAAATTCCGTGTTTGATACTCTGATCAAAACACGCGGGATGTAGGGAGAGCACGAGAGAAGCGTAGGAAACCACGACGCGTAGCTTTTAAAATTAAAAGAAAAAAAGAAATTTTTGACGTGCGCGAGCGTGTTTTGATACTGTAATCAAACATGGTTTTCGACCAATCACAGCGCGCGTAGTATCGTAAATATTTTAGAATACTGTATCTTCTTGATTTTCAAGCGATTATTATCAAACTTCGTATGTCATTTATTAATTTCAAGTTAACTACAGCAAGTCTGGTTCAAAGATAGGCAGAAAAGAGACGACAGTGATAATCAAGCCACAAACTTTCAACATACCATGATTTAGGATCTTCTTTAAAGTATTGATAGTTAACTGGTATATTTGCTACCCCGGACTGCATGATCGCGTATTTAAAAAGGTTACGAGCCAATGGTGACAAACAGAGCAAAGACACACTAGCACCCCCAGCAGAGTTACCAAATATTGTCACCCGATTTGGATCACCTCCGAATCTGAAAAAAAAAGAGATAGATTGAAATTAGATCACTACAGTCTGCGTTTTCCAGATTTATTCCAAACCTTTAGCTTGACCTCGCTTTTGCATACAATCGGAGATCACGTGAGATATCAAGCATAGTGTATTCCAGCTCAGTGTGAGTTTGTTGTCCGAGCGAAAAGTCTAAGTTTATCATACTCACGCCGATATCTATATTGCGACCTCTAAAAAACATTCAAGTATGTCCAAATTGTCAAAAGATCTGAAGAAACATCATCCAAGGTGGAAGAGGAACTTTTAGAGTCCGACGGCGAGAAAGACACAACTGAAACTCTCCAGGAGAAGAAAGCTACGACAAGAACATGCGGAGAGGCGTCCCGCTAGCCTGCGTGAACCAAAACTTGTTGTTATGTTCATAACATAACAACAAGTTTTGGTTCGGCTGCACGCAGGCTAGCGTCCCGCCAAAACGCCGAGATGAATAACTCTGAGATATCACTCCTCAGGTCGGCCATTGTCGACCTTACAAAGGTCACCACAACTATGCAAGCTCTGCATCTTACTCCCACTCAAATTACAAGTACTCTCATGATAGAGCTTCAAAAAACTCAAGAGGCCACAGGCCTTGGCGGAAGAAAGAAGGTCAAAGCCACAAAACAAAGCAGAAACAACAGTCCAAGTAGATTAACCTAGCTCCATTGAGCTGGTAAGTGCTACAAAAAAAATTATAGCAGGCAACTATGATATCTAAATTTGTTGATAACTGGAGGTTGTTAAACTCAACAACATCCTTGAGATCATAGACTTTACTGGCTATCATATAGCCTTTGAGACTCCCCCTTACCAAACTGGAATACCATATGTCCATTTCTCTAAGGACAAATAATTGTTAAAACAAGTTATCGCAAAAGCCATGCATTGTGTGATAATGAATTTATTTCAACAGTTTTCACAAGACCAAAGAAAGATGGGTCGCATTGACTAAATTTGAAAAATCTTAAATATGTTATGTATGAACACTTTAAGATGGAATCCCTGCAATCAGCAACACAACTTTTGAAACAAGGCTCAAGGATGGCAGTTCTTGATCTCAAGGATGCATACTCTTCAGTGCCAATAGCCACTGAACATAGAAAATACCTAAGGTTTATCTTTAAATCATCACTATATGAATTCACATGCTTGCCTAATGGGTTGTCTAGTGCACAAAGAGTGTCCACAAAACTAATGAAGCCAGTATATGCTTCTCTCAGGTCTAAAGGCAAACACCTAGTAGGATACATAGAYGATATCCTGCTAATTTCTGACACACCTCGACTACTTGAGGAACAAACAAAAGACACAATTAACTTACTTGTGTCTCTGGGTTTTACTGTTCATGATAATAAATCAGTGACAATCCTCTCCCAGGAGGCAACGTTTTTAGGTTTCATCTTGAATTCAACCTCAATGCAAAYATCTATGGTTCCAGACAAAGTAAACAAGCTACAAAATGCATGCCATCGTCTACTTAAYCATAAGGGGCCTGTACATATAAGAGAGGTTGCCTCAGTAGTGGGTCTCATGGTTGCCTCTTTCCCTGGGGTCTATTATGGACCTTTGTTCTACAGGTCTCTTGAGAATGACAATGACCATTGCTAGAGAAGATTTGAAATGGTGGATTTCTAAAAGTAATCTTTGCCCTAACCCATAGTGCTAAAGCCACCTATTCTAACCCTCAAAACTGATAGCTCATCGTTTGGATGGGGCGGCGTAATTGATGGCACTACGTCAATAGCAAGGTGCAGATGGTCATCAGAAGAATCCCAAAGTCATATAAATTACTTAGAAATTAAAGCAATAGCATTACAAGGAAAGAAAAAGAATTAGAAACAGAAACCTAAAATTATCGGTATCACATTTACCAGGCAAACTCAACATAGAAGCTGACAGAGCTAGCCGAGAATTTAATACTGAATGGTCGCTTGATCCAGTTGCCTTTCAAATCTTGGCAACTAAATGGGGAATGCCTGATGTAGACATGTTTGCATCAGACATAACCACAAAATTGACAAATATATTGCATGGAAACCAGAACCAGGGGCGATAGCTATTGATGCATTTGCTATTGACTGGTCAGAATATAAACTGACATATTGTTTTTGCACTTTTAGTCTAATAGGCAAAGTGTTACAAAAAATACAATCAAGACAAACAGTTGCTATCTGGTTGGTAGTTCCTCAATGGGAAATACAGTTCTGGTATCCATGCCTAATTCAAAATTATGCTCCAAGATTAACCAATAAAAATCAGAAATCACAGACAAACATTAACAATTACCTCACAGTCCCAAGGAAGAGCACCGGTGTCTCCCAAACTACAACTCCTTGGTTGTCTTGTGTCAAGTCTGCCTTGACCAACTAAGGGATACATGGTCAACCATGTACTTTCAAGTGTTAAATCTTTAAGCCCTTACACTTAAGTTGGTTATGATAATGGCATTGGTATCAGCACAATGGACACAGACACTACAGATGTTATCCTTGGACAATATGTCAGTACAACCTGATGGATATTCCTTCTCAATTACCTCGTGTCTTAAACAGACATCTAGTCGAGGAGGGAAGAACAGACATTTACTCCACATTGTTCTTCGTCATTACATGTTGGATAAACGACTTTGTATTGTTACCTTGTTAAACATTAACATTAAGAGAACCACTGCTATACGAAAAAACACTCGTCAACTGCTAGTCTGCCATAGTAAACCTGATGGACCAGCGTCCAAGGACACTATATCTAGATGGTTAAAACAAACTAAGAAGGCATACATAAACATTGATACCTTCAAAAGCCATAATACAAGAGCAGCATCTACCTCAGCAGCAAAGGCTGCAGATGTTCCCATAGAGGACATAATGGCTGCTGCTGGCTGGAGATCAAATTCAGTATTTGCAAAGTTCTATAATAGACCCATAATAAGACAGAACAACATTGCTGAAGCTGTTTTATCAAAAATTAATTGAAACTGAGATCAATATCTGCATTGATTGTATCTTATAACAGTATAGTGTAGAATTATTTTGTTCTTATTCCTACATAAAGTTAGAGCCATACCTATATGCCCATGTTTAGCAATTTTATTGTTTTAGCGATTTTGGGATCCTTTGAGCTTTGAAATTTCACGTGTCCTCCAATTGTATGCAAATGCGAGTAGATTTGAAAAATTAAACGAGAGTTACCTGTAAGTTGAAGTTTGATTGAGATTATACCATAGCATTTGCAGAAATGAGGAGGTCACATCCCTCCCTACCCATACTCCCTTCGAAGATTGCTATGACCACCTCATCTTCCAAAGTCACCCAAAATTCCTTTAAAGACTGAGCTCGGATACACTATGCTTGCTATCTCACGTGACCTCCTCATTTCTGCAAATTCTACGGTAGAATCTCAATCAAACTTCAACTTACAGGTAAGTCTCGTTCAATATTTCAATTATTTGGTGTGTGGTAGAACACAGCTAGTTACCAGAAGTAAAACTCTAGAACTCAATTGATCCAGTAATACCAAACAACTTACGCTGCAATGTTTCGATTCACCCACTTTAAGGCTTCCAGCTGGTCAAAAAGGCCATAGTTGCCTGTTAAACCACTTGGTCTGTGATGAAGATAGCCTAATATACCTCGGCGGAAATTGATTGCAATAACAATAACATCTCCTAATGTTGCCAAATAACTGCCATCAGCTATTCTGTTCGAGCCGCCTAAAAATCCACCTCCATGAATCCAAACCATCACAGCTCTTTTGCTGTCACATGGGGCGGCAGGAACATACACGTTGAGGTTTAAACAATCTTCATCCATGTCTTTGATTGGCAGATTGAAAGGACTGAGCTTCGTATAATTCAAATCCTGCCAACAAACTTTCCCAAACGTTTTCATCTCCTTAACACCTTTCCATGATTTTCTTACAGGGCGAGGTCTCTCAAAACGTTCTGCACGAGCGTAACGAATGCCAAGGTACTTGTGAA